ACTGCTCTGGTTTGCACAACCAATTAACAGTTTCTTAATTTTAGTTTACTGATTTTAGGAACTGATTATACAGCTATAATCCACAACTTGGACAGTTTGACACCAAATGCTATGTTGGCCCCACAAACCCTGACTGTGATATGTTGAAAACTCTAAAATAAGCAAAGCTCTCCTGAAAAGGCATTTTAATTAACACAGTGCTGTGAAATCTTCACTTCTAGTGCCATAAAGTCAATACATCTGACACTACATTTTGAGAACACAAATATTTGCTATGAGTTGGTGTTCATGAGTAACAGATGAAACTTACACTCAAACTCTACTACATTATCATTACTTCCCTTCTTCCCCAAGAAGACGTAAATCAGAGATAATGTTCTCCCTCCCCCTGCAATGCTCATGAAAAGGGCACAAAAATATAAGCACAATTTTCTTCTTCAAAGCTCAAGCAATCCAGCAACAGAGGATGAGGATGATATTAAGTTAAGCTGCTTAATTACAGAGGTTAACTGTTAAAAAAAATTTACAGTAACAAAGCTACTTAAAGAGGTAACAGTAAGATAGAGACAGGATGATCATTCCCTACTTTCATACTCAATGTCAGAAATAAGTTCTGAAACATCAATATAATTTAAAAGACTGTTTAAAGTAAGCAAACAAATCAAAAAGTGTTTCTCTGCATAGCATACTTCCGCTTGTATAAAACTTAAGACATTTCTTACCTTTCCCTGAACTTTGCCTTAGTTTCCATAGCTAAGTTTCCAACTACACTGCAAAACAGAATTATTGGCCAGACACTTGGCTTGACTTGGGCAAACTGTGTGGCAAAGGACTGACTATGGGAATCAAAAAGACAAAAACAAGCTTTCTATCCCTATGATCCTTAGTCCAGATACTGAATCAATTCTCAAATTTAGTTTACAGTAAAGAACTAATTCAAATTGTATTGGCTGGGTTAGTTCTCCACAGCAGTTCCCCTGACTAGACATCACCGGAGCACTGAATTTGACTGTCCTTATACCTCTCACCTAAACGTTTTCTATGTTACGGACAGGCTGAGTAGAGATGGAACAAAGCCAACAGTGACAGGCCTTGTGTCACATCATGTTGCTTCAGGATTTCCAACCTTACCTATTTTGTAATGGTAGCTTTTCATCTACATGAACAAACTAAACACCACAAAAGTAAGAATCAAATCATTTTAATGGAAACTATACTGTATACCATGGAATCTACTGCTATAATGCAAGATTGTGAGCAGAAAGAGAACAGAAAAAAAAAACCATAAGATTCAAAATGAAGATAAATATCATCTTAGATTAACACCTCTTTTCTCCTATTGTGCAAGACTGTTGTAGACAGTACACAATCCGAGTTGAGGCTGTAGAGAGGATCAAAGAGGCAGGCAAGAGCATTGCAGTTTTGAGTATGCCCTCCATACAGATGTGAAACCACAGAAGACAATACTGAAGGTCGTCAAACATTATGTCATTGAAACTCCAATTTAATAAACATAAAATAAAAATCGGTCTCCAAGGTCTACAGCAGATGGAAACATTTTTAAAGCTGGCAAGTGTTCTCTCTTCTGAAAAGGATAACTCCATTGTTTAAGACCCCACTAAGCTAGAAACTCTATGCATCTAGGTAGCTCTACATGCACACAGAGTTATTTAATACAATACTTTTAGAAGTTATTTTATGTTATAGTTTATAATATTCAGCCGTGGACTGCAAAATTATATAGAGTGTACTATGGTAGAAAACAAATTGCTAATTAAGAAAAAATGGGCCTTTATTGGTCATATTTTTAATTTTGCCTAACCAAGTTTTTCTCTGTGTTTCTATTAAAAAACAAAAAGGCAAAAGCTTTGTTGGCTGAAAATAGTATAAAGCTTTCTTTTCCTGAAGAATCTTGCAAGCAAGATTTACAAGTTGGGAAATCTTTGGAAGTTCTGACATTCTTGACTCTACCTGAATAACCACAGTAAAACACTGACTAATGCTGAGAACCAGGAAAATTATGCTTCTATAGTAAATATGAATTTATATGTGCTATTAAAGAAGTGACTTATCAGAGCAAAAGATTAATTTTCCCACCTCTCTTTGTACCTCCTCCATCAACCCACTCCTCCTTGCCAGCAGACACTACAAATTGAATGCTACTAGAATCAACGCTTTTAATAGGCTAATAGACTGTTATCATTCTAGATAATGGTTTGAAGCTGGAAAATTCATCTACACTGTCTCCTGCCACAAGCAGAGGAAAGGGGGGAAAAAAAAAACAACTAAGCAATGAGATATAGCTAAAAAATCCCTCATCAGTTAGACCTGATTACTGCAACCATTCTTGAAAATTCCCAATTTTCAAAACTGCACAAAAATTCCCTTTTAATCCAAACACTCTTTGTTCAAACACCAAACCTAGTATTACTAGATGGACTGCATCACAAATTAACTTAATTTACTTTGGAAATGCTGATATAAAAAGCACTAGAGAGCCATCGAAATGTAAAATTTTACTTACTTCAGAAATTGATAATTATAGCCAAATAAATAACAACAAGGTACAAAGAGCACCTTAAGTTCAATATTTATAAAGCTAGTGGATCTGTGGAAACTAAGCATCAGAGGCCTCTAACATGAAGATGCTTTGAGGATAAAAACAAAGCTGAGATTAATTTCTTCTCCCTCTTTGCAGGGATCTAGCATATTTGCCTTCTGCATTCCAGAGCTTAGCATCTGTACAGGTAATTATCTTTTCTGTTCTATTAATAGGCATTCACAAGTCCTTATTTGTTCGGTATCATGAAGTCAGGTAACAGCAGAGATAATGATGCTCCAGCCTTTGACCACAAAAGGAAGAAAGAGTAATTCACTTATGCGGTAAAATAAAAAAGTGAGACAACTAGAATTACATGCAACCAATCAGGCCTAATTATGGCAGATCAGACCCAATTGGAGTATGCTCTTTTACCATCAAGTTTAGATGAACAGCTATACAAGAATCAAATAAGGCCTACTCCTATGAGGTTTGTCCACTAGCATTTCATCTAATACTCTTCAATATGCTACGGATTAAGAAAAGGAGAACTGCTACAGGGCATGAGAGTTGTAAGTTTTTAATTTAATTCAAGCAAATTACTATTAAAGCACATTTATGAAAGAGAAAAAGGTGCTTTAATCACCTGAAATCTACTGCAAAATTACGCTTTGTTTTCACTTACTTATGCTGACATCACAGCCAGAATTAAGAGCTTCACTGTACATGGTAAGATGGTCCCTCCTGAAAAGTTTACAGTTTGAATAGATGAGATGGAGAAAGCATGAGATAAAGAATGGCAATCCCTACTTGATAACATGAAAAGGAAGCACCATTCCAAGATCATGCAGAAAGAAATTCATTTAACTAAAAACCGAAACTAGATTTCTTGAATAACAGAAGAATTATCCTTTCTTCATGACAGCTGTTTTGTTACATTTCAGATATATTAGCCATGTTAGGAGCCAACAGTTCCTGGAAAATTGACATAAAAATGGGATGTAAGTGAAAAGACTCTAAATTCTTGCAACATCATACCAAAGCAGCAGTTCTCTGAAGACAGAGCTCAATGCAAAGAACTCAAAACATTTATTAACTATCGGCCCTCTGCCAATATAGTATGTGTTACTGCTCCAGATCTACTTACTGTTTGAGATTCAGATGAACATGTAAGATAAGCGAAGCTCAGAAAAGAGTAATTTATCCCACAACACATCTAGAGCTTCTTTAACGGAGCATAAGCAAGCATACAAGATCACCTTTTGTAAGAGCCTGAGCATCCAAAAAGCACTGCAATAAGGTTCAGCTGTATCTCTAGCTAGAATATTAAGTAATGTAGCTTTTATATTCACTGCAGAAGAGCTTTTCAACAAGCATGACACAATGCACCACATTTCAGCAGG